TGAGTCAATGGACAGGATCTATTTCCAGTTCCCAACTTGTCCCCAGATGCTCGGAGTCTCTTGCCAAATTGAATCAGTGCAAAAGCATCTTCTGGTACCAATTAAGAACTCTACAGTACCTAGGAAGAGAGCAGCAGACAGTTTCCAAAAGTGAAGGAAATCGGCAGCTCTCATGTCATGCAGCCAAACCATTTGTTAGCCATAGGAAAAGGAAACACCAGTCCTGGGAGTCCAACTACAAGCTCCTTGCGCAAGAAAGAATGTTATTTCTAGACAGTGTTTAGCCTGCGAGTCAAGATTTCCGTAGGGAATTCTCTGCCTGGTACTTAACCTCTGCCGCCCAGACCTCTTGCTGAGACTACATTCAGACAGGGTAGAAAGACAGGGAAACTGTGGGGCACAGCAGAGAAAACTCTGGTTGAAGCCTCCTCCTTTCAGCTGAGAGGCAAAATTGCAGCACAATTAACAACTGTGTGAGACTTTCCTCCCTTCCTTTCTACAAACCTGCAATTTTCTAAAAATCTCAACAGAAAACCCCTTTTCAAGGAAAGGACATATAGTGAACCACTGTGCAGCTCTACTGGCTCCTGGTTTTATTCTATATAATCCATCCCAGGCCACTGGAGCCACCTAGAATCTCAGGTATCAAAAACTGAAAAGAGGGCTCAAGCAGGGCTCAATGAGTAAAAACCTCTTGCATCAAGCCTGATGACCTAGGTTTTGATTCCTGGGTTCACAGGAATCAAGAGAGCAGATTTCCACCAGGTGTCCTCTGGCACACACTTGTGCCCTGGTGCAAATGTAGATACACACAAAATAAAGAAAGAAAATGTAAAGAAAAATAACTTTTTGAAGTATTTAAAAAAGAAAAAAGTGCCGGGCGGTGGTGGCGCACGCCTTTAATCCCAGCACTTGGGAGGCAGAGGCAGGCGGATCTCTGTGAGTTCAAGACCAGCCTGGTCTACAAGAGCTAGTTCCAGGACAGCCTCCAAAGACTCAGAGAAACCCGTCTAGAAAAACACAAACAAACAAACAAAAACGATTAAAAAAAAAGAAAAAAGTGAGGGTGGGGAGGTTCAAAACCTTTTTGAGACTTTTTTGTTTGTTTGTTTGTTTGAAACAGGGTTTCCCTGTGTAGCTGTGGAGCCTGTCCTGAAACTAGCTCTGTAGACCAGGCCGGACTCTTCCTCCCAAGTGCTGGGATTAAAGGTGTGTGCCACCACTGCCAGTTTCTGAGACATAATTTGAGAAGCACCGACCACAGGGGTTCATAGGGCTAACACAGACGTGTGACTGGGAGTACCTGTCTTATTTCCCTGAATGTTTCCCTTTCTCTTAACCCCTTGTATTAAAAAAAAAAAAAAGCTATGTTTAGCCTGGCAGGGGTGATGTATGCCTTTAATCCCAGCACTCAGGAGGCAGAGGCAGGTGGATCTCTGAGTTTGAGGCCAGCCTGCTCTACAGATCAAGTTCCAGAACAGTCTTGAAAAACCAAATCCAAGACAAATACAACAAAAAAATAAAAAAAAAAAACAAATCTATGTTTTAAAAGTCTTTGATAATTGTGACTCTTCCTTGAGAAATCCCGCATCCATGCTCTTAGGTGTGCTTTATTTCTTGGCGCCTTTCTTTCTTTTTTTTTTAAATTAATTTATTTTATTATGTATACTTTTTGCTTCCATATATATCTGCACACCAGAAGAGGGCACCAGATCTCATAACAGATGGTTGTGAGCCACCATGTGGTTGCTGGGAATTGAACTCAGGACTTCTGGAAGAGCAGTCAGTGCTCTTAACCGCTTGAGCCATCTCTCCAGCCCCCGGCGCCTTACACACACACACACACACACACACACACACACACACACACACACACACACACACACTTATTTATTGTTTTTTCAAGTCAGGGTTTCTCTGTGTAACAGTCCTGGCTGTTCTGGAACTCACTCTGTAGACCAGGCTGGCCTTGCACTCAGAGATCTGCCTGCCTCCAGAGTGCTGGGACTAAAGGTGTGCACCACCAGCACCCGGCTTCCATGAACTTTTTTTTTTTTTTTTTTTTTTTTTTTTTTTTTTTTTACGGTAAAAGCAGTAATCATGTGTGGCATTATAAGAGGTGTTTCAGAGATGTGTCTGTTTTAAAAACCTTCTGTGTGTGTTCAGTGTCTACTTACCCTGTGTTAACCAATGTATTATACATTTTATAACATATAACCTCATTTAATTCTCACACAACTGAATTAACCCATTACTAAGATGTAACAAAGACATGGAGATTTTGAAATCATCTGCCCAAGATCACACAGAAAAAGGCAAACTGGGCAGGCTCCAGTAGTTCATCGAATTTAAACATCACATCAGAAAAGAGGGAAAGAAAAACACTCAGGAAAACATGAGCTATCCCATAGATATTTAGACGTAAGGCTGGTGAGCTGGCTCAGCAGGTAAAAGCACTTGCAGCCAAATCTGATGAAGTAAGTTTAACCCATGGGACCCACAAGGTGGAAGGAGAAAACTGACTCCTGACAGTTGTCCTCTGACCTTCATACATGTGTCCCCCAGTAAATTAATAAAATGCAGTTAAAAAAAAAAAACAGCTGGAACCCTTACTACATTTTCAGAACTGGTTGGTCCTCGTTGATTTTCCTAGGAGTAATCAGTAAGGAAACTTCTGGGTGCTCTAAAGTCTTGCGATGCTCTGGTATTTCCTGGTGCTGGATGGTTAGTCCTCTCTACAAGAGGACTGGGAAGTGTCCCTGCTGGTCACCAGAAGGAAGAACACACTACAAGTCACCACAGAATGGAGCTCTAGCAGTGCTTCTAAGCTACCTCTTGATGCCTTATAGATACCTATCTCTGTAAGTCTGCTCATCTGTAGAGAGCATGGCATATCCTGCTACACACAAGAACAGTGAGGCTGCATGGTGAAATGCCATTTCAATAGTCCAATGATGAAAGTCGACAAAGAAAAAAAAGCAAAAAACAAAAACATGGAGACTCTTGCCCGAGGCTGACATCTTCTCCGCCTTAGGGCAGGTTCACAGTCCTCTGAAGATGGTAGCTACCATAATAAGGTCATCTTTTCTGTAACTTCCGTGTGACAGCTTTTATATGACATTGAGCTCTGACACTTGTGACACTCACTATGAATTGCCAATATAAAATTTTAGTGTGACATTTTCATTAGAGTATATTTTAACTTCCAGAATTATATTATTGTGCTTCAAGCCAGACAAAATCTTAGCACCAAATCATATGGGCTGCTCATCCACACCCCCAGCCAGACAGGGTTTCTATGTGTAGCCCTGGCTGTCCTGGAACTTGCTCTGTAGACCAGGCTGGCCTCAAACTCAGAGATCCATCTGCTTCTGCCTCCCAAATGCTGGGGTTAAAGGAATGTGCCACCACTGCCTGGTTTATTTTTCCTAAAGAACTATTCAAAGAAACATCATTAGTTCAGGAACTGCATCAATATGAGTAATGAATAAAAGATTGGCATTTGTAATTCTGTTTCAGAGTTTGAATGTTACTTTCAAGTTTAAGCATCTATAAAACTGGTTCACCTTTTATCTGTTTATCTTCCTGGCAGTGATGTACTCTTCACTTTTTCAACAAGCTCAAATGGGCTACCTTCTATATAGGTCACTACTGTACTATGCTAGATATAAGAGATACAACAACTAATTAGATTTATTTTTTTTCAGTGACAAACGCATTTCATTCTTTATTTAGATGTTGAAGCTCTTGCACTAAGTTTTTACAAGCTGGTGAACACTGACAAATTATTTCTCCCACAGAACTATAACCACACATTCCCAGACAGTATAAATATATGGTTGAACTAACATTAATACACATCACCATTTTATCAATTACATAATAAAACAAATGATCAAGTGTCCAATTATTAAGTTACATAGCTGAAAAGGCATATAAAATATGTCTGCTCGGTTTGTCAGCAGATCCCACGTCTTCTTTTTCTTTTCTTTTTTTTTTTTGTGAGGTTGGGAAGAGAAGGGGAAAACCATAATTCAAGCAAGTTGAAAAACAAATTCTGATAGGTATGGAAAACAAGAATTTCAGAAATTTTGATTAAGAATTGGTTAGCTACAACAATGTATCTCTACCTTTTAAAAATATTTACTAAATTAAAGAGCATATTCTACATGTTCTGCACAAGACAAAGGCAACATTTTACTAAAAATATTTAATAGCCTCCTCCCATTCTTTTATCAGGCCCTCCCTGTTTAAGTTGCACCTTTGAGTGCAAACATTAAATTAACTATAAGGCTTTTTGTCTGGAGACATTATTGAAGATATGTGCTTCTGTAACAAAGTTGATTTTCAAATGGAGGTTTCCCGTAACAGCACAAAATAATATAAAGACATTAAATAATCCTCACAAGACTTGCTTCAAAAAAACAAAAACAAAAACAAAAAAACAAAAATCCCAAAATCGATGGCTAAGCAAACCTGATGTATACTGGTATGAGTGTGGGAGATGTAAACATAGAGTGAGCAGGCAGATAACAACAAAAGCCCTGCAGTGTTTGAAATGACTGAAGGAATAAATCATGGAAGGTCTAGAGTGTTCTTAGTTCCTGGAATTTTGGTTCTGTATGATGCTAAAAATATATAGGTATTGTGCTGGGTATTTTGGCACCTAATCATTCTAAATTCCTTATTTACTAATAAGACTCTGGCACAGGAGTACATTTAAGGACATAACTCAATACCGTATTTTAGGAAAGGTCAATGGGCACAAATAATAAGCACATTTTAAATGCTGACCAGCAAAGATCTTTTGCTAAGTGTCCAAACGGGTTGATCATAACTTAAATATAGAGGTTTTAATTCTGTCAAGCTGGTGGCCTGGTAAAACAGGTTTTCAATATTACTGTAGAAGCTTCAGTAGACTTATTCAGTAAGCCGACATGTTGGCTAATTATGTACGACAAATCAGGTCCCATCTGAGTTCCACTTCCAAGGCGATGGCATCAGGCACCCCAGTTTTATTGAATATAACAGTTGTTTCTATGACCATTGGAATCCTTGAAGCGCAGCCGCATCTTAGGACGGTACTTCTCCAGATACAAAAGTTGCTTGCTGTTAAAAGCTCCACGCTGCTTTTGTCTTATGAACTGCACTGCATTTTCATACTTCATTCCACCTTCAATTAATGCTAGGGCAACAAGCACTGGAGCTCTGCCAAGGCCTGCAACACAATGGACAGCAATACAGCAGCCAGATTCTTCACCAAACTTAATCTTTACAAGACTTAGCCAGTCATCTACAATCTGGTTGGATGGTGGTGCACCATCATCAAAAGGCCAGTCAAGAACACGAATGCCTTCTTTCTCCACAAGAGTAGTGTCGTAAGTTGCTTCACATATTCTTACTATTGTGGTAACTCCATACTTCTTAAGTTCCTCTAAGTTGTTTAAGGTCACATTGGTTGGATTGTGTGTAATAAGGAATCTCATGTTCTTGTATGTGACTTCCACAGGAGCAGGGCGGTTCATTCGAGCCATGTTAAGTTAGTTTTTAAAAAATTTTATGAAAGAATTAAAAAATTGAATACAGAAATGATGCAAGAAAAAAATAAAAAACAAAAAAACAACCTGAAGTCTATACTTCAATATTCAATATATTCCACTTGAAATTCTCAGTGGTTTGAGTATGAAATTGGGAGAAATGAGCAATGAAATGAACCTCCTAACAAGAAGCAGTGATTCTTCAATCCAGTAATACTGAGGCAATACAAAGGAAGTGCACTGAGGTTTACCCCATCCAGGTCTGAGCTCTTGTAAAATGCTCTGCAGGTTTCAATTCAACACGTCTGTGTCCAGGTTATCCACTCTTATGGGGGCTTCTTGGTGGAGTAGTAATGAATCTCTACAGTTCACTTGTCTGCATAGAGGTGGTGCTGTGTCTGGCAGTAATCTCCACTGCCCTTCAGAAACTCCATAAATGTGTGACCAAGAACACCACAGAACTGAGGAAAATGTCTACTCATTGAATATTGTGGCCTAATCATACAGCCGGTCCCGAGGCGGGGCAGGCGGCAGCGGCGGCAGAGCAGGCGGCGGTGGGTCTCGCAGGGCGGGGGGCACCAGACGACCATGCAGTGAGCTGCCCAAGGAGCGTCGCCGAGCCGGCCACAGCCCAGAGTCAATGCACGTGCCCAGGCTAGAATTATTTTTAATTTTAATAAAAAAGTTTTTGGTTTCTCGAGACAGGGTTTCTCTGTAGCTTTGGAGCCTGTCCCAGAACTCACTCTGTAGATCAGGCTGGCCTTGAACTCAGAGATCCACCTGTCTCTGCCTCCTGAGTGCTGGGACTAAAAGTGTGCACCACTACCACCCAGCTAACTTTAATAATTGTAAGCACTGGACTACGTATTGATACCAGGTGCACAAAATGCGTACATTACTTCATAATAGGTTGTTGTTGCTTGGGGAGAGGGGATGAGAAGACACAGCACCAATGACACAGCACTGGGAATCAGTGAGTAGCAGAACATTCTGTAGACTCGCTTATTAAGGAAGTTGACCTGCCTTTATACCCCTCCCAAGGTCCCATTGGCTCAGGTGGCAGACTCTGTCTTGTCCTTCCCTCACTGGTGTCTCTGGTCAGGTGTCTCTTTGTCAGTAGTCACTGGGCATAGAAGCTGGCTTGGCTCAGGGAGGAAGTGCCTGCTTTGCATGCTCATTTCTCCTACTATTAATAGGTTTCTTTTGTTCATATGCTAAATAGCAATATTTCAGTGTAGTGGACACTTGTTCTTAATATGTGATGGTGGTAGTAGAGAAAATATTAGAATTTATTTTTTATTTAATTCATTGTGTGTTTGTGTGTGTGTGTGTGTGTTTGTGTGTGTGCTTATTGGTTCCACCTTTGTGCTATCTAGTTTTGTGTCAACTTCACACAAGCCACAGTCATCTGAGAGGAGGGAACCCCACTGAGAAGATGCCTCCATAAGACTGGGCTGTAGGCAAGCCTGTAGAGCATTTTCTTAAATTAGTGGTTGATATGGGAGATCCCAGTCTTGGTTTTGTTTTGTTTTGTTTTGTTTTGTTTTGTTTTGTTTTACTCTTTTGCTCTTTGGGGGTTTGCCCGTCAGATTCCAAATAAATACACTGAGTGTTATTCTTACTTATGAATGCCTGACCTTAGCTTGGATTGTTTCTTGCCAGCTTTCTTGCTTTGTGGCTTGCTGTGTAGCTGGGTGGCTGGCCCCTGGAGTCCTCCTCTTTGTCCTCTCTCTCTTCTCCTTCTCTCTACCCAGATTTCTCCTCATATTTATTCTCTCTGCCTGACAGCCCACCTATCCTTCTTCCTGCCTAGCTGATGGCTGTTCAGCTCTTTATTAGAGCAAGAGGTGTTTTAGGCAGGCAAAGTAACACAGCTTCACAGAGTTAAACAAATGCAACATAAAAGAATGCAACACATCTTTGCATCATTGAACAAATTTCTACAGCATAAATAAATGTAACACATCTTCAAATAATATTCTACCACAGTCCATTGTGGGTGGTACAACCCTGGAGTAGTGGTCCTGGGTTCTATAAGAAAACAGACCGAGTAAGCCATGAGGAGCAAGCTAGTAAGCAGCACCCCTCCATGGACTCTATCAGCTCCTGCCTCCAGGTTCTGGCCCAGTTTGAGTTCCTGCCTCCCTCTGTGGACTACAATTCAGGATATGTAAGCCAAATAAACCCTTTTCTCCCCAAGATGCTTTTGGTTATGGCATTTCATCACAGCAATTATAGCCCTCAGTAAGACATCTTTGTTAGCCAGGTGGTGGTGGTGTATACCTTTAATCCTAGCACTTGGGAGGCAGAGACAGGTGGATCTCTTGAGTTTGAGTCTAGCCATGTCTACAGAGTGAGTTCCAGGACAGCCAGGGCTACACAGAGAAACTCTTGAAAAGAAAAAGAAAAACACAAACAAACAAACAAACAAACAAAAACTTGTTGAGGTAGGTCTATTTTTGCTGCTGTGCTCTCAATGTAAAGCTATCTGGCCTATGAGGCTGTGAGTCTTCAGTCTCCATCTCCAGTCTTACCATGGGAGTGCTAGGATTACAGATATGCACCTCTTTGGCTGCTTGTTGTTGTTGTTTTATATGGCTTCCAGGAATAGAGCACAGGTTGTCAGGCTTGCATGGCTAACCCTTTTGTCTGCCATCTTGGCCCTGGTGCGTATAGGTGTTTATTTCTATATACAATATGTCTTTTTATGGGAGAATTTTTTAAAGTTCTATCTCTTCTTTCATGATTAAGTAATTGTGACATTTGGGGCTGGAGAGATGGCTCAGTGGTTAAGAGCACCGGCTGCTCTTCCAGAGGTCCTGAGTTCAATTCCCAGCAACCACATGATGGCTCACAACCATCCGTTATGAGATCTGGTGCCCTCTTCTGGTGTGCAGATATATATGGAAGCAGAATGTAGTATACATAATAAATAAATAAAATGTTTTTTTAAAAAAGTAATTGTGACATTTAATTTTTCTTGGGCTGTAAATGCACTTACCATCTTGAATTGTGAATACTGCATACTATATTGATGAAAGAGGTAAATACAGGCCACACAGCTTACAGAAAGAATTTATTTGTAGTTGTGTTATCTGGGGAGTTTCAGGTAAAGATGACCACCACTCCATATCTCACTCACTCACTCACTCTTACTGTTCCCTCCCTTATTGGTGTTGATCAAAACCAGGGCTTCATGCATCCTAGTTCCATGCATTCTTATCACTGAGCTATAACCCAGCTCTTGAATTCTTTCTAATGGTATCCTTGCTTCACAGGACAGTTCCCCACTCCCTTATTTGTGCCTTTCTTGCTTTCCATTCTGAAGCTTCCAAGAAGCTCCTGTTAGAGTCTATCTTTACAAATCGCTTGCTATGACTTTAACTGAGAAGTTGCAAAGTCAAAAGCCAAAGGAGTTTCTGTCCCACTTGGTCCTGAAGCTGGTTTGTCCCAAATAAACATATAGAGGCTTCTATTAATCATAAACTGTTTGGCCCATGGCTTTGGCTTCTTTTTGTTGATTTTTGTTTGGTTTGGTTTTTTTGTTTTTTTTTTTTCAGACAGTGGAATTTTAAATCTTTCTGCCAGCCACCCTAGCCCCACCACCACGCAGGCACCCCAAAATAACACAAAGCTTAATATTAGGTACAATGCTGCTGGCAAATGACTAGGATTTCTTATCGTCTAGCTCAATCTTAATTATCAACCATAATAATCAATCTATATATTTATAAAGACTTATCTGATCGAGGATGCCTGTGGCATGTGTCCTCTCTGGTAGGGCTCACATAGTGACAGCCCAGAGAAGGGAGGAGGAGGAAGAGAGCGATTTCCTGCTTGTCCCTGCTTATATTCTGAGTCTGCCTGCTATGTCACTTCCTGCCTGGATAACAAGACTTCTCTTTACTACATTTCCCAGAATCCTCCTCGACTCCTAGTCCTGCCAAACTTGCTTCCCTAATGGCCAACGGTACTTTATTTATCAATCAATAAGACAAACATATACACAGAAGAACATTCCCATCAGGACAGGGTTTCTCTGTGTCAATGGAGGCTGTCCTGGAACTAGCTCTTGTAGACCAGGCTGGTCTTGAACTCACAGAGATCTGCCTGCTTCTGCCTCCCAAGTGCTGCGGTTAAATGCCTGTGCCACCACTGCCCAGCTTCGATACTGTACTTCTTAATAAACTTGTTGGCATAAGACACAGTGTTGTAGAATATTATTTTAAGATATGTTACATTTGTTTATGCTGTAGAACATTTGTTTAATGATACAAAGATGTGTTGCATTCTTTGTTACATTTGTTTTTGCTGTGGAACATTTGTTTAATGATACAAAGATGTGTTGCATTCTTTATGTTGCATTTGTTTAACTCTGTGAAGCTGTGTTACTTTGCTTGTCTAAGACACCTGATTGGTCTAATGAAGAGCTGAACAGCCAACAATAGCAAGACAGGAGAAAGGACAGGTGGGGCTGTCAGGCAGAGAGAATCTGGGAGAAAAGATGGAGGAGCAAGAAAAGGAGGCATTGAGGAGGACTCCAGGGGCCAGCCACCTAGCTGCACAGCAAGCCACAGAGAAAGAAGTAAAGAAAGGTACAGAGACATAGAGAAAGATAAAAGCCCAGAGCAAAAATAGAATAATTTAAGAAAAGCTGACTAGAAATAAGTCAAGCTAAGGTGGGGCATTCATAAGAAAGAAAAAGTTTCCCTGTGTGACTTATTTGGGGACTGGGTAGTGGGTCCCCCAAAAGAGTAAAGAGCCAAAAGACTAAAAACCAACAACAGCACAGATTATGCAAGACTTCCTGAATTCCTGAATTTCTGATCCCTTGGCCCTTCCTCCTCAGTTTCCTGCCACTGAAGAATGACCCACTGGTCTAGGTGAGCGATCCACTAAATTTAATCAGGGCTGTGTGACTCTAGATTTGGGACCCAGTGGGCTATCAATAGCCAATAGTTCAGCAAGAGGTAAAAGCTCATGGGTGCCTTCTCCATCTATGACTGATTTTG